GTGCCCATTTTTAGAATCGATTACATGCCCCTTACCACAACCCGCAAGCCTCTTTCAACCCCGTCTGGCCCCGGCCTGCCCCTGTGACTCGCTCTGGCCCTGTCCAAACTCTTGCTCATTACACTCCAGCCACATAGGTCTCCTCTCAGCTTGCAGGACACTGCTGCTGTTTCACACCTCAAGGTCTCTGCAGACATCTGCTGCTCCCCACTCCAGGAAGGCTGCCCCACAAACTGTGTGTACACGGTTCCTTATTCTTTGGCCTCCAGCTCAAACAGCAAGCCTTAGAAAAACTTTTCCCTGATCCTACTTTATGAATTAACTCCAGCCCACTTACTGTCTACTCCATCACCCTACTTATTTTCCTCTTAGTATTCGCAACAACCTGAAATGACCCTGTTTATTTATGTGTTTGCTTTTATATTACCCATTTCCTTCGCCAGCCTCCACTGGAATCCAGTCTGTCTCTCACCGCTGCATCTTCAGTGTTCAGCACTTTACCTAAAACATGACTAACTCCATATACATGTTTAATGGATGGGTGGATGACTAGAAAAGTTAATAGGCTCTAGAAATCATCTTCTTCAAGTCCCTGTATGCTGAGCACACAGTAGGTCTCGCCTGGGAGTCTATATGGGAGAGAACTCTGCCCCGGAGACAGAGACGCCCGCACACTTCCCACTGCCCGCACCACGACGGCCGAATTCCCTCCAACCTGCGTGCACGGCTCCATCTCTCGCCACCTCCTTCTCCACACTAAGTTCATGGCACCCTCAACTTCATCCTGTTACATGAAAATACCACCCAAGTGTGTGATGTCATCTCTTTTCGAAACATCTTTTTTCTCCTCCTGCTAACCATCCTGCAAGATGCCCCGCATGCAGCTTTTCCTGGCAGCCAGAGGGGCTATCGCTCTGCCGTCACAGGCCTTCACGCATGCATCTACCACGTTCTAACGCTCAACACGTATGTGACTAATTCCCCCCGTTTTACTGTTAATACTTTGATCAAAAGCATTATGTTTTACGTCTCTATCTACCCACTAGTGCCTGGCAGGGTGCCTCAGAGAGATATGCAGCAAAAAATTGTTGGCTGCTATACGTGCATATCAAGAAATAGCTGAGAATTTTTCATTATTGCTTTCTCAGTAGAGCGAGAGGAACTGGAACGTTTTAACGGTTGTTCTCTCGGCTATCTGACCACCATTAGTGAGCCAGTGGGAGAGGCAATTTCTAATTTGTGAAATGGAAATTCATTTCCATTAGTTGTAGCTTAAGAAATCATATTTGAAAATATTTATACTGTGTCCAAGATAAGCACACCAATACATGCATACTCAACCTTTTCACTTGCAATTTTCAATTTTTAAAAACATGGATTGAATTTTCAAGATATAACATAAGAGGTCACTGGCATTACTAGGAAATTCTCCAGCCTGGACTCTTCTAAGCTTAGCGCAGGCACAGAGAGCACTTCTGAAACCATTTGCTGTGTATTTAACGTTCACTTTTTTGGTAACCCTACATTCAACTCCATGGGCCAAAGCAAGCGACAGCGCTTCAGGCTGCCCGCCAAAGGGCTAGAGGATCAGCACCATGGACAGAGTAATGCCGGGCAAAACATAGCTCCGAGGCTACTGCTGAGGTGACAGCTGTGACACCAGCTGTGCTACCAAGGAAAGACTGGTTTGCATGTTCCTGTGGGGTTCATGGGAAGAGAGTGCCCCTGGGTTGGGTCAAATCAGAAGGAACAACCACTCCTCTAAGACGCCTTCCTTATTTACTGACCTACGTCAATCCGCCACGTTTTCCACAATCTGCTCTTCTGTTCCCAAGTCGCCAACCCCAAGCTGAAGTAAACACCTAACTAGAAGATGGGGAGGAAGTTTGTTCTTCGTTCCTGTCCATCATCTATGATCCGTCGTGCCTTCGCAAACCACCTTTCAAACAAATAAGCTGTTTTAAAAGGATGATACTAAAGAATCCTTGATACTATCGCAGGGGGAGACGTTATGATTATATTGAAGTTATGTTCAAAATGGGAGTCTCCATCTTTTAGTAACACATCTGATAGTTACAAACAAAGCAATATAATGTCTGAGACTTGCTTCAAAATAATCCATGATCACGGGAGTGTCTAGACACAAGATTGGCCATGAGTTGTTAATTGTTAACGCTGGAGAATGAGAACACGAGAGTTTTTGAGATTTTTCCATTACAGTGTGTGTTTGTGCAAAGAATACATGTGAGTGTGTGTGTGCACACACTCTGCTGACAGGGAAAAAAGATTCCTGCGCCACAGACGGGAAGAGCAAGCTTCAGCACCGCTGTCCTGAGAGGAGCTTTCAGGAGGCCGGGTTATAACTGTCCCGTGCAGATGAGACCCGGTCTTGCTCAAGTCCATGTCATGGACCAGGAAGTTCAGATGGCTAGGGACGATTGCTGTACTCTGGAGCAAGATGTCACAGGAGAGCAGTTTCTAAGAAATGAAAGCTGTCACGTACCTCCCTGACGAAAGGCAGCTGGGGGCAGCCTGGAGTGCAGGGGCTGAGGCTGAGGGGAAGGAGGGGTGCCTGGCTGTGATGGTGGACCCAAGGTCAATACCTAAAGTTCTAGGCTAAGATCCCAAACAACGTGTTTAAACTTAGGATGGGCTAGATACCTAGGCGGAACCAAGACGTGAGGCCAACACATCATGGTGGAGGGGAGCTGAAACACGAACGGGGTGCAGAGAAACAAAAGGAAGACAAATACTTCCGGGGCTGAGGGCGCTGTTAGAGGCTTTTCATGCAGCAGCCACGCCGGAAGCAAATAAGGAGCCAACAGAGAGGCTGGCGGATAAAACTTAAAAATCAAAGTGAAAATGCTTCGAAGCGTGTGAAACTGCACGGTGAGAGCTGCTCCGGGAGCAGCTACTGTGTGCGGCGCTGCACTCAGTGCCCGGCTCACGCGTCAGGAAGAAACCCCGCCCCAGGGAGCTCACATCCCAGTGGGGCACGGGCAAACGTGGGGCCAGCTCCTTGAAAGCGTGATAGTTTCACCGGGCTGTCCCATCCGACAAAGTGTGGCCTCGCGACTGCTGCGGTCCCCACTGTTCCCAGCTGCCGTAACTCCGCCTGCGCCGCCCCTCACCTGCCCGACCCCTGCTCCCTAACGTCCCTGAGCTGCTCGTGACAGCTGCCCGTCCTAAAAGCACCGAGCGGCCAAGGACCACAGGGAAGGCCCTGTTCTCCGCTGACTCTGGAGGCGGGGTCGCCACTTAGCCTGAAGTAACCTTGGGCGGTTTCGTCACCTCGACGTCCTCAGCTCTCAAGCGACAAGCCCACGCGCCTCACAGGGTCCCTGCTGCTGCCCAGCGCCAGCCCCAGCAGGCCGAGGCCGTCCAGCGCGCGCGGGTCCCCGCTCCCGCCCACGCGCGCACCGGGCCTGACGCAAAGCGGAGCCTGGCGCGTCATCTGAGGGAAGAGGGGAAGGGAGCTGCGTGAGGGCCGCCTGGCTTCGCCCGCCTCTGGGAAGGCGTCGTCGCTGCGACGTGCACACCTCAGACTCTGGCGACACTGACCGTCAGCTGTCACCGAGAAAATGTTTAAGTAAAAATAAGTAGCTCTAGGGACTGTCTTCACACGCAGTGACCG